TCTCTCTCTCTCTCTCTCTCTCTCTCTCTCTCTCTCTCTCTCTCTCTCTCTCTCTCTCTCTCTCTCTCTCTCTCTTCTTCTCGCCGGCAATGGCGCAGGCAACGAGAACCAGCTCTGATACCAGTGCGATCAGTCTTGTCTTGAAATTCACTTCCAACATGCATGCACACAGATACCGATGGTCTAACACTTCTTCAACGCAGAATCAGCAACAAGGATGAGATGGCGCACAGCGCCCACACAGAAAACTCAGAGATATGTCTTTGGCCAGAAACTCGGTATAAGTCAACTTGTCACTTGTAGCTATGGCGGCTGGCGCCAATCTGATTTCTCACCCGAACGCTGTAACTACAAGCGGCACACCTACTCACACTCACACGCATGCTCGCACACGCTAGGATCTACCCTGAATGTCCACGGCCACACACACTGTTGTCGTCAACAAGCTGGCGGCGATGGCCGCCGTCGTCTTCCTCCTCCTCTACCGGCTATGGCCGCTGCCCACTTCTCCTTCGGGCTTCTGCAGACCTCCAATGCGCAAGTCGCTTCAGCAGCGCCACCGAATGGCTCACAGGTGAATCCGTGAATCTCTGGGCGCTGCCTCTTTATTTATACTGTTTCACTGGTGGTCGGGCCTGCCTTCGTTCCCGGGCCCAAGTGATGTATGGCCGCACCTGGTACTTGCTGACTGGGCAAGGATTAGACTGACCCTTGCTGACTCAGCTATGGACACCGACTCCAATGGCTCCGAAGAGCCAAGTAGCAGCTTCTAGAATGTCCTAGACTACGTTTGACTGCCCTTTCGCTACGCTGAGGGTTAACCTACAGGACTGACCCTCAACTACTAGTCCTAAGGTCTACGGGTCAAGTCCACGCACCCGCACTTGTACGCATGCACTCTAAACTTACCGTTTTAGGAAACAGGTCACGGGCTCAAGGCACACAGGGTCAATGGGTAACTAACTGTACAGGGGTTTGGGGTAGGTCCAGGGATCGAGGTCTGCACTCCCGCGCAAACACTAGGTGAAACTGTTTCAAAAGAGTATAACGCGGTTTTTGTGCTTGCTTACGTGTTGTATGGGAGGACAATTTTTTATTTTTATTTTTGTACGGGAGAATTGCCTGGGGAACTGGAGGGGAAAAGGGGGCCGTGTTCCCCCCCTCCCCCTTATACTCTGTGAGAAATTAGTTCGCGGGCATAGGACAAAAGAGGACAACGCGGTTTTTGTGTTCGCTTATGTGTTGTATGCGAGGACTTTTTTTTTTGTTTTTTTCCGGGTACGGGTCAGGTTTCTTAACAGGAGTTGCACCTTTCCCAGTTGTAGGTACTAGCTGTACATGTTTGGTGAAAAAACACAATAATCCAGACATAAACCACCCTTTCCAAAAGAAAGAAAGCTTTTCATTTTTTTCACAAAAACGTTGTTGACCAATGGTAGGCTAGCAGCAGCGAATGCGTCCAGCAGCTGAAGGAAAGAAAAAGAAACAAAAGAAAAAGGGAGAAAATGGACTTGTGGTGTAACTTGACAGGTTTGCCTTTGTGTTTGTTTCATTCATTTTCTACTAAAGAACTGGAAGTCTTGGCTCATCATGTGTTGGCACCATCCATACGGTGACCATCTTCCCCTGAGAGAAAGCATGGGCATTGTAGCTGTGTGTATTTGGATCAACTTTCAGTGATGATACAGTGATAACGGTGGTGTGTTCTATTTCGGGGGAAGACTGCAGTTTTGCATTGTGTGTGACTGTGGTTTTGCATTGTGTGTGACTGTAGTTTTGCACTGTGTGTGACTGTAGTTTTGCATTGTGTGTGACCGTAGTTTTGCACTCTGTGTGCGTGCGGTGTCGGTTTCACAAGCGTGTGTGCATATGTTTTACGTATGATGATCCAGAAACACTCGACAGGAATGTGGGTGCAAATGTATGAAAGAAAAACGCCCATAACATATCACAACAGCAAATTAAAATATAATAGGGAAGAAAAGGTACTACAGACACCGGAACTGTTGAGACGCTAACTCTCTCACTGTTGTTCCCTTTTTTTTTTCTTTCTTTTTTTTTGGTGCTGTTTCTATGATAACAGCTGGATACAATGGCCTTGTCGAAGATGAAGGGGTTGAGGAGAGAGAGGAGGCAGGCTGCGGAGGCAAGAGATGTGGCCCTCCAAGGAGGGTCAAAACCGGAGCTGAAGAAGAAGAAGAAGAAGAGAGTAACTTCGGAAAGCGGAGATGGAGAGGGTGGTGCAAGTGGAGATGGAGATGGGGGTGCTACGAAAGCACTTTCAAAAAAGCAGAGGAAGAGTGTCGAGTTTGCTGATCTGTGATAGTCCGTCCGCCCCTTCTTTTTTGTTGTTGTATTTCTTGGCCTGGAAAGTCTCTGTTAGACTTTGTCTGCTTTGTTTTCGGGGCACGCATCTCTGTTTACTTGGAGTGCAGCGTCGCAGCATTTTTCTTCAGGAAGCTCTCGTTCTGTTGCAGCTTTTTTGCCTTTTGTCTTCATGCTTTTTCATTTGCTGCATCGGAATCTGTTCCCCTTTCGTTCGTTTTTCGATTCCAACACTTGAATGAGGTGCCTTTTGCCATAGGGGGGTTGAGGGGGCAACGTGAGGGGCAAGTAAGTTTGCAAACATTGGTCCTTATTGTTGGTTGGGGCGAGTTTGCAAACATTGGTAATTGTTGTTGGAAGAAATAGAAATACCCCACTGGTCCTGTTTACCCCGAGTTTAGGGGGAACCTGATCAGTTTCACATCCAGGTTGATTGATGTTCAGGTAGGATGAATCTAACATACCACCAGGGCCAGGTGCTTAGTGATGTGTACGGTGTTGCCAAGTGCTCTGCACGTTTATAGCTCATTACCATTTTTTCTGGAGTTGTTCGTCGAATGAGTAATTATGCGATTCAGAATCTCAGATACATTCCCAGAGAGGGGGAGGGGGTGTGGGGTGGGGGGTGTGGGGGGGGGGGAGGGAACCAAGAACCCTGAAAATATGTTTGAAAGAATCCTAGGAGGAAAAGATTGGGGAAAATTAATGGGGGTTCAGGGGCAGCAAAGTTACCGCGTGGGAGTATGGAGCACCCAGTGATCAAGTTGTATTGACAGTCGTGGTGATTATGAAGTCATTTTTAAAGTTTGTAGCTGATTTTGTGTATCGGAAACCAATGTTTTTTTTTTTTTTTTTTTTTTTTTTTTAATTATTATTTCCCCCCCCCCCCCCAAAACAGGGCCTTGTGGTCCTGAACCAATGTGTAAGCCACTGTGGGCAGCCTGGGGGCTTCTTCTAACATTGCGGATGCAAGCCTGGGGGCTTCTTCTAACATTGCGGATGCAAGCCTGGGGGCTTCTTCTAACATTGCGGATGCAAGTGTAAGTAAATCGAGTACACACCTGCACAGCCCAGCGTGGGTTTGAACCCTGATGAAATCCACGCGCGTGAGGGCCACATGTGTAGTTCATCAGGGTTCAAAACCGACGCTGAGCTGTGCAGTGTGTACTCAATTTACTTACACTTGCATATGTGTACCATTCAGCCACCATATAGCACTGGATCTGTTGCGTCATCTAGAAAGGGTGTAGGGTACGACCCTAACCTTGTAGTGAATTACGCCCACCTGATTCCATCACAACTTCCTAGCTAGCACTGGTCTGCCATTGCCGACGGAATATTCGAAAGAGGATTTAACGTACACAGTTCCAAAGAGGACTCTCATTCCAAAGCTGTATTGGGGGCTCCAGCTCTGAACGTGCAATCTGCAGATTCTGCACCTACACCTCACAGTTCCACACATGTGGGCTCTGCACGGATGACACATTGCAGCATCCACACTTTTTCACATTGCTGACTACAACCAGTTTCTTATTCAGTACACACAACGATTTTCATGCCCATGCATACTGTCTCGCCGCATAAATTTCATACAAAATATATCTTAGACGATTGTCATGCTTTGGTTATTCACATCAAACTTTGGGAGATGTATTACGCTCCTGCTTTCATCCCTCCTTGAGCGGAAAGTGGACTGTGAAAGCAGCAGTTGCAATTGCTACATCGAATTGCACAGTGGAGACAAATGTCACATGCAATGTGACTCCCACATGCCAAAGCACGCAGAGGCATGGCAACGGGAATTGTGTTTGCAGTCACTGCCAGTCTACCCTGTCTACAAATAGGACATGGCATCCAAGGTCCACGTAGATGTGTGTGTGTGTGTGTGTGTGTGTGTGTGTGAGAGAGATGCTACTGAGTTGTTCGAGTTTCACTGGGCTGTTTCGATATTTGAAGCAGTACTTGGGAGATTCGACAAAGTGGGTGATTGGGTTTGAATTCACCCTCTACTCGAACCACCACATTGGGCTGCTTTGACGTTTGTCCCAGCGTTGGGACACTCGAGAAAGTGTGTTAGTGCGCTTGAACATTCCCTCTCAGCTACAAGCACCACTGCAGGCTTGCAGTCACCCCTATCGTGTCCACCCTCGTCTACACCTGTGGCTGGCTGGACATGTTGAGCGTACTGTATCTCAAAGAAAAACAGTTGCCACTGGGACAACTGGCATGTCCCATCATCGGCCAGAGTTTTTCCCCTGAAGTTGTGAACCACAACCGGGTTGCTATTTGCTATTTGACAATGCCCCAAGCTCCTCGTTTGCAGCCGCAATGTTAGAAGAAGCCCCCAGGCTGCCCACAGTGGCTGTTTAAACTTTAAAGCACAGCTGGAGGGTATGAATTCATATGCCTGCTTCTGGGTAGAATAGAACGGTTACTAACTTACTATATAGAATCACACATTGGTTGGAGTAGACACTGCACAGCTCAGCGTGGGTTTGAACCCTGATGAAATCAGGTGAACAGTGAGGGCCACATTCGTTAAACCACGAGAGTACCTTTCCTTTCACAGGCAAAGCTTTCCGATGAGTTGGTATACCGCTACAACAATTCTGGGATGTGAACATCTTTTTTACCGGGCGAAAATGGCTACCGTCTTGACCCGAATAGAACGCCCGGTCATTATCACTGTATCATCTAGACTGAAAGTTGCACCAAATACAGCTACAATGACCGGGCGTGCTATTCGGGTGAAGACGACAGTGGTGCAGGCTGAGAAAACAAAATGGAAATATATTATATAATGGTGAGGGCTAAATTGGACTGGAATTTCTACTCTGTTGGGTGGTCAAAGCTTACAATATAAAAAAAGTGGTAGAGTGTCATCCTATTTTATTTCGGAATTCTCATAGGCTAGGTTACCAGCCGGGCCGCCCGGGTCCCGGGTGGTCAGCCCGTGCAAGGA